GAGCTTGAATTAGTCTTATATGCTTTACCCTCAACCATGCCTTATTTGTTCCTTGTCAAAGTCGGCGGATTTCTTGGTTTGAGATGGCTTAGATTTGATCATTTTTTCTAACTTACAACTTTGGTTTATGGTTGGTGCAAGTGAATGAGAATATTGTAGTACGTACTTTTAAGATATTTAGAGGCAACATAACTAGTCTTCGGAAAATAAATGAATTCAATGTTTTTTTTTCAAAAAAAAAAATTCTTTTTGATGTGAAATAGATTAAACTCTGAATAAGGGTCTTTTTCCAAGTTGTTACTGAATCAATCAAAATTGAACCAAATCACATGGCCTTCACGTTTGAAGTCGATCGATTCCATTCGTTTGCAGGACATAATTCTTTTGGGCATCTAGTTTCTAATTATCTTAAGCTTGTGATTTGATCGACAAGGAATAGAATGATATCAATCCCTTTCAGCCTTGTTAAATGCAAGAACCAAGTTTCATGTAGAACCAAAGCATTTTCTGTTTTTCATTATTTTTTTTTAAGATGCAGGGCAAAAATATCTGAAAAATCATACCCATCACTTCCTTAAGATATACAAAATACATTTTTTTTTTTACGTTATTTAAAATACATTTTACCACAACCATGCTACAAATACAAACTATTTAGACAGAAAAAATCGAAATAATACATGACAAGATTAATGGACAAATTCTGTTGTCGGTGGATATCTTAAATAGTTTAAGCACTAAAACAAGTACATGCAGGCATATACCTACCTAGTGTAAGCAAGAAACTTCACCCGGCCTCTAGCGCTTCATGTCAACTGTCATTGAAGGAGGTAGAGAAGCACATCTTTTCTTCCTCTCCATGTTCCCATGCCACCCTATCCAAGCCAAACCATCTTATATATGTACTGGTAAAAATCCTTGACAAAATGCAACAATATATATATCACGATATCACGTATATATGCATGCAATGCAATGTTAATACAATGGCCATGCAAATCATTTTAATAAGTCACCACCTATGGACATATCGAATCCGAGGTTCTTGAGTTCTCTATACTCTTGGCATAGAGCACACGGCTCATAACAACAATGGACGCAGCAATCACAGCATGGTTTCTCTTCCAAAAAGTATTGTCCCCTTAATTTTGATCGATAAAAACATGAGTATAAACATGGACAACCCGTCATGAACAAGATCAACATGTACAGTCCTCCGCTAACACCACATGCTGCAATATATGACACAATATCAAAGCTGATTACTTGGCAGTCTGCCCCGGTTATTATCGTTACCCAAAAAGAAGCAAAATGATTGGGAATTAATCGATTTTGCCATATAAAATTTGTTATTCTTGGCAGCTTACAAGTTGATCCTCTATCGAGGATGTCCGCAATCCGTCCAAACGTGATACATGGACACCAACACGTTAGGCAACCTGTGAATTGATGAAATTTATATATTGGAATATTGATCGGTAATACTAAGAAAAACTACACAACAGCATGTGCTAATTACTTAATCTAGATATTATTTTTGTTTTTTTAAGAGGAAATGTAGATTTGCTCCATGCATAAACTTCTTTTCTCTAATCTCTTTGGTTCTTATATAAATATGTCTACAAGCTAGTATAGAAACTATTAAATAGGATCCAGAGTAAACTACAAATGTGAAGTTCTAAGTTTGGGACCGTCTTTCCCCAATCTAATGATTAGCATGTTACATGTATCAGAACCCACAACGTTTTCGTAAATATATTTTTCAAATAGCTTTTGATATCATATAAGTCAAATTGCTACAGCATGTTTTTTAATAGAAAATTTAGAAAATAGCAATCCAAATGAGACCGAGTCTACGCTGGCTTGGGACTCTTTATTTATTGCATCGTTCTTCATCTATTATTTATTTTCTTCAACTGAAATTAAACAAAACAATCCCAATTAAAATTTTTTTATTATATTATCTATGTTATAAAGTTACATACTCCCATATCTTGCAATTACCCCACCAAAAATTTTTTTAAAAAAATCATTTATTATTTTTTTGAAAATTTACTAGCACATTGAAAAGATACCTACACCACCAACAAAGGTCAAAAAAGTAAAGGTTATCTGTACAGATCCCAACTAAATGAAGGTGACTGGAGGAAATAGATGTGTACTTACTAGTATTCGGGTCACTCCAGCAATGACATAGACCAGTGGACCAGGGGTCCAAAGCCTCTCGAAGATTCTTTTGTTCTTGACCCGAGGCTTTGATTGGTATGGTAGCAGGGGCTGGGTTTGGCCCGTTTGGGTCCGCATCATCATGACCGGAAGAAATTTGCGCCATGGATACAGCGGTTGGCGGCTGCTGTGGGGCTGATGGTGGTGGTGGGAAGAATTCACCATTTGAACATGCTGAGGAAAACATAATTAATTTCACTGTAAAAGAAGAAGGAGAAGGAGAAGGAGAAGAGAAAGGGGTAAAGAAATTTGTGGAATTTGAGGTCTAAGTTTTCTGGTAATAGGAGTAGCATCCCTGGGAATTTTGGCACATGACGGTTTGGAACGGTTATGAGATCGGGCGCGAAATGGATTTTTAACTTTTGTTGGACTACGAGTTGAAGGTCCATGTCCACACAAACCCCGTTAGCCCGTGAGCTTTCTCGGGAAAATTATGGGCTCGTATGGTGGATCTGTGGGAGGCCTATATTGCACCAATGGATCCTTGCAATATCTTTTGATGAACAACAATTGCAATTACCGGAAACGTATAACTCTTTCCGTCTTTCTGGTCAATTGTTTTCTGTGGATGCCTTCTTTTTCTTTTTTCTTTGTAAAATTTTCTTAATCTTCCTAGGGGTTGGTTAGTGTAAGTGGAATGAGGAACATGGCGATTTGGAAGTGCAATCATAAAATGCTATTAATAGTCTACATAAGTACAAAAATTAAAGCTTCTATAAATACAGATACACCTAAAATATCGAAACTTATTGTCTTTGAATAAACAAAAATTGTTTCAATCTCTCGATTTCTACGGAAGGGAAAAAGAATTTCACGCTCTTCCTCTCGGAAAGGGAGGATTAGGGAATCCTATTGATTGCAGATTCCTCTAGACCCGTTTGAATATTATTCATTTTAAAATTACAAAAAATTATTAAAAAAAAGATTAGAAATAAACGTCTCACTCTAGATCGAACTTATATGGTCTAATTTGAGCCATTAATGGCACCCTGCGGTTTGTAGGTGAAACTTTAAAGGCCCCAAACTCTAGATAAATTCTAGGGATAATTTGAGAAACCTCCTTTGAGGTTTCTGATAATTTCACTGAACTCCCTTGAGATTTAAAAAATTACATTTACCTTCCTTGATTTAATAGTTTTAGTAACAAAATCTTAAAATAATATAGACTTGGTCAATTTTTTTAAATGAATACCCAAAAATGCCCTTGTGTAATGAGTTTTAATTTATTTTCCTATACAATTATAAGATTATCTAGTATAATTATAAGGAAAAGGTGTCAAAATTTTCATGTCCATACCTACTATTTGATAAACAACTATAATAATAATTTTATCACTATAATTGGATACTTTTGATGGTACTTTATTATGGATTTAGATTTATAAGATAGAAAAAAAATGTTGAAATAATTCATTTAGAATTTATGAATTTTTTGGGTGGTGGGATTATCACAATTTGGTAGTGATTTTGGGTCATTTCTTTTGATTTATTGTTAATTTTAGTACTAAAAATAGAAAACAATGATCAACAAAAACATTGGATTATATATAAAATTAACTTGTCAAAAAAATTACTAGTTTGACATTTGGTTACAATAGAAACTAAAAACATAGCGGTAGTTCTACAATTTTATTGGCAAAAAATTAAAAAAAAAGGAATAAGAAGGAAAAATAATAAAAAAATAATTTTAAAACTCATTCTAAATATAAGCATACCAAATAAGGGAATTTCATTAAAATATTTAACGGTAAAATTGTCATTTTAAATAATAAGGGAGGCATGTGTAATTTTTCAAACCTTAAAGGAGCTCAGTGAAATTGTTAGGAATCTCAGGGGAGGTTTCTGAAATTATCCCTAAATTCTAATCATTGTTGACTTGGCACTGCCACACAGTTGGCCCGGGAGCTTTGGAGCAAGTTAACAGCCTTTATAATGAAATTGTAAAATAACTTTTATATTAGAAGGTACCTTCATCACGATCTAAAAATTGCAGGGGCGCAAAAAATCTAGTTTTGTGAAGTTAGGGGCAAACAGCCCCCCAAGTTTTGTGGGAATGATGAACTGAACAAAATTCATATGATTGGGCTATCCCTAGAATAATTTCCTTAGCGTGCTTCTCCGTGACCACTTGCTTTTACGAATGTTAAGAAATCTTGAAACGGAAATACTTAAACTAAAAAATAGCCGACAAAGAGAAACTTCATTGCAAGACTACCAAAAAAAAAATAATAATAATAATAATAACTGTTGTGAGTGTTTGGATAGTGTATTATTTGGAATCCCATTTGAAATAATTACTGTAGCACTTTTTGTGATGTGATATATGTGAGATAAAAAGGTGGTTGGAAATATAAAAAGGTAGGTTGGAAAATGTGTCTATGATGCAAGCGAAATATTATTTGGGATAATTGAGGTATCCAAACAAGCTAGGATCCAAATAAATGAATAATAGCAGCAAATTATGTCCTTGTGTCTTGCTTTGACTGCCAAATTCGCTAGCCAACGCCTTAAATGTCAATACTCAGAGGTGAAATTAACTCTATTTTTCGTTTTCTAGCTAGGACTAGTTGTGTGTGGAACGAAGGGTGTTCTTATCTGCTTTATTATTTTATTCGAAGGGTGTTCTCTGTCACTACCGCATTCGTAACTCTTCAAACACTGTATAATTCTTAACTCATTAAAAGTTTGCCTTCTGGCCACGTTTTTTGAAATTCAGGTGCTTCCCTCGACTTGTCAAACAAGTTAGCCACTACCCGAAACCGTGTAAAGTACAAATGCCAGATTTCGTCCATTTCAGAGCTACAGAGAGCAAAGAAATGGAGATCTCAAACGTCCCATTTCAGTACTCAGTATTAGGATTCATCTTACAAAATTTGAAGGAGTCAGTTCAATGCAACAGTGAATTAATTGGTGGAGTTTCAAAAAGCGTGAAGGGACTCTGCGGTGATCCTGATACATTGAGAGCATTCATCAAGGAGTACTACGAGAGGCGGAGCAACAGCCAAATCTTGGAGAAGTTGGCGAACGAGATAAGAAACGTGGTTTATCAAGCCGAGGATGCAATTGAAACTTATATTGTTTTGGAATCAAAGCATAAGGGTCGACGTACAATTGGTGTAGCGGCCGATCATATTGGTGGTTATGTTTCTGATGCTTTGAATGCCACCAAACAGATTGAGGATGTTTGTAGAAAGTTGAAGGAGATATATCAAATCAAGACGCCGTTGGATCCTGATGCCATGCAAGTTGGTCAGAGTTCCAAAAGGATTCCAAAGAAGGAAGAGGTAAGGATGGGCTATTACTTCCCTTTTTAAATTTTTTTTACAAGGCATTGGTATACTATTTTACTTCGAAGACGCACCATTAGAAATTCACCTACTCAATGGGGTACAAATTTTCCCATGTTGTAATCATTTTCCAACTTCTAATCCTTGTAAGTGCATGTCCTCAATTTCCTATTCTAAATTATCTTCGATGATCTTGGGGTGTCGTGCCAATGTTGTCCATACCTGCAGGCTGTCACTGAAGAGGAAGATAATGTGGTTGGCCTAGACGATGAAGCCAAAAATGTAATTGAACTTCTTACCGAAGGATCACAGGAACTAGAGGTTATCTCAGTCATTGGCATGCATGGTTTAGGAAAGACCACACTAGCTAAAAAGATTTTAAATGACCCAACGATTGAATTCAAGTTCTATAGTCGTGCATTTGTGGAAGTCTCCCAAGAATTCGAGAGAAGGGAAGTGTTCCTCCATATTTTAGGTGCTTTTACCAAGATCACAGAAGAAATTAAGGACTTGTCAGATGACAAATTAGTTAAAGAACTTCACCGGCAGTTAAAGACAAGGAAGTATTTGATTGTCTTAGATGATGTCTGGACTCCAGAAGGATGGGATCAATTAAAAGTTGCCTTTCCCAACAATGACAAGCAAAGCAGAATATTAATTACTAGTCACAATGAACCTGTGGCCTTTCATGCTAATCCAAGTTGTGATCCTCATTACTTGCGCTGTTTGGATTTAGAAGACAGTAGAGAGTTGCTAAGAAAGAAAGTTTTTGGAAAGAGTGACTGCCCAGGAGAGTTGGAGAAGCTTGAACTAAGTATCCTGCTGAAATGCGATGGATTGCCTCTAGCAATAGTGATACTTGCAGGTGTTCTCTTGAATTATAGAGACAGAACTGATTGGTGGAAAAAAGTTACTGAAGATTTAGATCATTTTGTTGCTAAACATCCAGAACAAAGCCACGGAGTAATAAGATTAAGTTACGAACACTTACCTCCTCACCTGAAGCCATGTTTCCTCTATCTTGGGGTCTTCCGTGAAGACATTGGCATCCCAGTTTGGAAGCTGTTGCAATTGTGGATTGCAGAAGGATTCGTACAGAAAGATCATGCTATAAGCTTGGAGGAAAAAGCAGAGGCTTACTTAGACGACCTGGTGAGCAGGAATTTGGTAATGGTGGGTCAGAGGGGATCCAGTGGTCGAATCAAAACATGTCGTATACATGACAGTTTGCGGGACTTCTGCAGAAGGGAGGCGATGAAAGAAAATCTGTTTCAGGAAGTTGAAAGGTATGATCAATCTACCTTTTCAACAGAGCACACTTCCTTGGATAATGCCTGCCGCCTTTGCATGAATTTCCATCTTTTGGATGGTATTGAAAACCTATCTGGTATACGTGTTCGCTCTTTTTTGAGTTTTGCCAAGAAAGAGACTAAGCTACTTCCAGAACATATCTCGTGCATCCCTAGAGCCTTCAAATTACTCAGAGTGTTAGATGTTAGACCAATCATATTTACTCGTTTTCCTGGTGAGCTAGTCTACTTGGTTCTCTTGAGATATATTGCTCTCTCTTCTAGATGCAAGATCCTTCCAGAGAAAATGTCTAACCTACAAATCTTGCGAACTGTTATATTTGAAACATCATGGCCTACCCTTGAGATCAAGGCAGACATATGGAAGATGCCACAACTAAGGCATCTAATCACCAACACTTCTGCATGTTTACCTTTGCCACTTGCAAAAATCCACAAGGGTGAACCCTCCATAAGTGCAAATCTACAAACCCTTTCATCAATCTCACCAGAGAGTTGCAAAAGGGATGTATTTGAGAGGGTTCCTAAACTCAAGAAATTGGGTATATGTGGGAGATTGGCATCATTTATGCAGGGCAACAATGAATCCAGCTTATTCGACAGTTTCTCCAAGTTAGAGTTCTTGGAAAATCTGAAACTAATCAATGCTGATTTCAACTCTAAACTACATTTCCTTCCTCATGAAAGCAAGTTCCCAAGGAGTCTAACAAGGTTGACTTTGTTAAATACCATGCTTGATTGGAAACACATGTCAATACTGGGAAAGTTGGAGAATCTTGAGGTGCTCAAATTGAAGGACAACGCATTTGAGGGAGAGAGATGGCAAACAGAAGAAGGTGGTTTTCTTCGCCTTCAAGTTTTGAATATTGGCAGCACTAGCTTGGTAACTTGGAATGCTTCAGCAAGCGATTTTCCAAGACTGAGATGCCTGGTTCTTATGCACTGCAGTAAGCTCGAGGCCATACCACATGGGCTTGCGCAAATAGCCAGCCTCCAAGCAGTTGAAGTATATTGCACCAGTAATGCGGCAGCTTCTTCCGCTAAGAAGATTCAGGCGGTGAAACTAGAATCGCAATCACAGCAACCAAACACTGGTACCAAAAGTCGCGGATTTAAGCTCTCTGTTTACCCTCCGGAAGAGTGATCTTTCATGACAGGTAAGTGAAATAGTTTTTCTTCCACCATTTTTACTTATCTCCCTCGTTCCTTGATCATCTTGCAACTTAGAATTTGGTCCTTCGCAATTGAACCAGACCTTTCTTACAGTTATCCTAGTCGACAATGCTCATTCATTTGATTTGATTCCGATTGCAAGTACAAGAGTGACTCTGCATGTCCACATAATTTTGTACTTTTTGAATATGCATTCATCTGTTGCAAAAGATTTCCCGTCAACTAAAAGCTGCCCTATAATAAATACAGTAAATAATAGGATTATTAACTAGTGGACTTCGTGTAGCAAGGTTATGCATCTTAGACACTCAGGAAGTCTTGTTTTCATGCAGGCATCATTAACATTTCCAGTATTTGCAAGGCTGCCTGGAATATTTTTCAGTCGTCAGTATTTTCTAGTACACTAGTTGGTTTGCTCAATTTTAAACATGATTTTGTTGCAACAAGGATCGGTCCATTGGATTTCTATTGGGGTTAAGACGCCTGCTAGACTTGACAAGGTAGCAACTCTATTCACTATTCACAGGATAGATCCCGTCCTTCTACAACAATTGCAGTGGACTTTGGGATTTCGAAAGATGTACGTGCAAAGCTCTATCCCGAGAATATGTTCCATCGAGGGATGGGTTGCGAAAGGTTTATGTGTAAAGCCTAGTCAGTGTATTGTGTGACGGTTTGTTGGTGTAAAAGACTTAAACTCTTGTCCTGTTACTTGAGTGTGATTTGGATATTGGCCATTGCTTACCGTAATATGCTATCAAAACAAATGTAGATATTAACACAATCACGAAAAAACACAATAAATTTTTTCAATTAATAAAATTTGTGTTAAAAATTTGTGTTAATTTCTATACAATACATAAAACGAGAGCGTCAATATATTGTGAATGCATCAGTATATCATATCGCGTAAATACACAATGTCACTTTTTTAAAATTTCTAATCTACCCTTCATAATAAGGATAAATTTGTCCCAATCTATTAGGGGGAGGGGGGGGGGGGGAAACCTCCCCACAAGTAGAGAGCTATTTGGATCAACCGTAATTATTTGTTGAGATTATCCACTTTTTCACACTAACTTCAACTCCCTCCCACCAAATCTGTAATGTGCTGCTCAGCTTTCATCATCTTTCTAAACAATTATCTATATTAGTACAAAAGAATTTGACCAATAAGCAAATATTATAAAGAGATAATTTTAATAAATATATTTTTTATTAACTGCACACACGAAGCACTAATCTATATTTATTCTTATAGAATAAGAATTCATATTTTTTGACTCCGAAGTGCTCATTAACGAGGCATTAATAAGGTCTTATTTGACTCCGAACTCCTCATATTTTGCGTTCTTTTTCCATAAGTTTGGGCAAGACAAAAAAAAAAAGAATTGCAAGTGCATTGGGTTGTGGTTTTCAACAATATTATGTACTCTGTTATGTTACGAGAAGTATTCTTTAATTTCAAACAAAATGCTTTACAATGTGCAATTGTGTAAAAGAAGCCCTCTGATTATTTTTCTTTTACTTTTGTTATAAGATATCACATTTGTAATCTAGAAATATGGTTACAGTTACTCTACTCTGAAGCAGTAGTATTTCGAGAAAACTCCAAACATTGGCACTAAGGTGAATGCAGCAGGGAAAGATGAGAGGCTAATATGCACAGTTTACAAAAGATGAATTCACGTCCCTCCATTTGAGAAAGAATTTTTAACAAGAAGTTTTCATGCACCTTCCCACTCTCAATTCCATTTTTCTAGTTAATACTAATGGTACGAGTCATTGCTGCGTTAAGGGTGTGAATTAAGACCGTAGTAGGAACGTGAATTTAGGGCTTTGTCTCAATATTTTATTATAGAACTAGCATGCTAATCCCTTTTTTCACAAAAAAAAAAAAAAAAAAAAATTTTGGTTTCTTTTACCTAGTTGTTACCATCTCAAACTAGGTAGAAGCATCAAAAACTCGTACTGACTTGTTGAAATCCAAATTCTAAGTAAACCGTCTAGCAGAGAAGATGCACTGGTTCTTTTGTCCAGGCTCCAAGAAGCAATCCTGTGGAACTGCAGCCTGCCTTCTTTGTTGCACAAATTGCAACCTCAGACGATAATTTCATTCTTTAATTTCTACCAAAAAAAAAAAAACATGCTCCATTTCCTTGAAGATTTCATGTAGACAGAGACTGTGGATGGATAATGAAGGGTGAATTAAATCTGTTTCACATTCATGATTCAACTTTGGTCTCTTCACATTGCTGACCTGACAATGTCTAATAGAGTAAAATATTGAAAAAAAAAATGGCCATTTTTCGTCAGTTACCAGGTATGTGGGACCAAAGATGGCCAGTTTAAAGGGGCCAATTGCTTTAAAAATGTTCCCTGGCTCTTTGCTGCATAAAGAAAAGTATTATAGGATGCCATGATGGAGGAGCAACCTTGGTTTTAAATTTCTTTGTAAGGTATATATGCCATAACAAATTTGTCCTAATTCCAAGTTGGATGACTCATTTGAAATAAATCTAAATTTACGTACGAACGTAAGTTCTCAATGCTTCCACTGCAATACAATCTGATGATATATGAAACTTGTGATCTCAACACAATCAATAACAAGTGTGGTCTTCTTTTTTTCTTTTTTTTTTTGATATGTTACATATATGTCTTGTTTATCGAACATTATTTGCACAATTGTAAAAAATATATCAATATGTTTTTTTTTTTTTTGGTGCTAAGGAGAGCCATTGGCTCATTACATGTTGATAAAACGAGGGAAAACCACTCCACACATGCCTTAGCCCAGGAGTTCTTTAACTGTCTGCAGTGGATCCCCAAACATTGTCAAGCCATAGTCTAGACTTCTTCTCAATTTAGCTAAGTGATTCGCACACCTATTCCCTTCTCTCCAGATATGTTCCAATCTACAATCTCAATCTGTAAAAAATATATCAATATGTTAAAAGTAGAATAATTGATAGAACCATTCCCCAAATCTTTTTTTTTTTCGAAGACGACAACTGTAATATATTCTAATCTATCTTATACTAAAGGGAGAAAGTGGACCTAAGGAAATCTAAGAATAATTCGGAGGGGACTGAACCATCACCGAATCAAACGGGTGCACTACACATTCATCTGAATTTTTTGAAGCAAATTCATATTTTAATGTGATAATTAATGAGAGATAAAATTTGAACCCTTGCTCCAAAACTTGCCTCCCATACCGCCATGACTTAAAGGCTTAATGGTGGCCACCAACTGGTGGTTCCCAAGTCCTTTTCTACATTTATTATGCATCTGAGTTGGCAATGGAATAATTGCGGTGAAGTCATCCGCCATCAAAGAATCCGAATTGCAAAATTATTGCCTTTTCCTGTCACAGAGAAAAAATCTTTCTTGGAGGGGTCCTTACTTCTCACTGTCCCTTGTCTCTCCTGCTCAAGCCACAAACATACATCATCTGAAGGTAAGTAACTAATTCCAACCTCTAATCTCAGTTTACTTAAATAATGCCCAGAAGCTAATATTGATAACTAAAAGTTAAGTGCAGACTTTGGACTCTAGTTGAGATGTAGCACTTCTGAGCTTTCTCAGTTTGTTAGTCCTAATGCAGTGATGCACTTTCTTTGACCCTATTTTCTTGCAGAAGACAAAGCATAACAAGCTTCAAGAAAAAAAGATGGCTTTTCTAAGAGTAGTGGGTAACTATTTAACATCTCTGATCATTCTGCCATATGTATCATTTAGCCCAATTACTAAAGGTTTACATACTGCTTTGTTTGATGGCAGTTTTGTTATGGGCTGATATGTTGGCAGCATATGTAATGTGGATAATGCCAACATACTTGACAAATGTTTGGAAACTGGGATTTACTCGTGCTGCTGGAATCATGAACGTAGCCAATGGCCTCGCTAAAGTTTTACCCCTCGTCTTTTTCTTGATTGTGGACTGTGGCCTTGGTAACTACTGGATGCTGCTTCTCTCAAGCGTATCCTATGCAATTGTAAGTTCTGCTGTCAAACACTTCTTTAGTTTGATTTCACAGTGTGCAAATTTATATTGTTAGGAGATAGGACAAAACAGTTGTTTGATTGTCTGAGACTAGCCCCATTTCCAGGTTCCAGCATCAACTGTCATCATTTGATGAAGCTATTGAACATCTGATTTTACTAAACTATTGGAGTTGCAAGAAATGAGTAACAGTTGTAAGCACAAACACGTCAAGTACCAAGTGGAAAAAGGTCTAGAATATGCCAGGATGAGGTTTCTCGTTAGTTGAAAGTTAAAACTCTTTGATACAGAAAGATGACATTGATATTTCAGTAAAATTGTTGCAAAAGATTTTGTATACTCCATCTCGCTTGGGAAATATTTTGCTTCTCTCAGTTAACTAGAGATAGTAAAGATTCTGTAAAGATGTGACTATACAGGTCTATGACCGTTTCTAAATAGGTGAGGCTTAAAAGGCTCCAACTGCCTCTTTGACAATTAACTTTTTGCTACTGAATTCGTTGATCGAAGTTCTAAAGTAAAGAAGACAAACTGAGCTTGTTGATGACTGTTGACAAATTAATGAACTAGGTGGAAGGTAGCAAACACTAGAACAGGATATTATGTCTAAGCAACAGGCGATAATTTGCAGACTTCTTGATCTTATCACTAGAACCAAGTACTTGTTCAAATTCTGTCCCAGAGCTCAACTAAATTGGATAGTTTCATGTTAAAGGCTAATGCACTTAGAGAACATATCAGCTGTAAATAAATTTCTAGTTGCAACCTAAGCAAAACACAGAGATTTTTGCTATTTGGATTTGAACTTTCTTTCATCTATAATCATGTGTAGGGTTTGGGATTTTTGTCTATGTCAACACCACCAGTTCTAGCCAAGGAAACTGGGAGCTGTAAACACTACAAGCCTGAATGCATTGGTCACACGCAAAAGGCCCTTTTCTATACAGCTTTAGCGTTGATTGCTGTTGGAATAAGCGGGCACATTGTATCACTAGTTGCACTCTTTGTTGATCAGTTTGAAAAGAAGAAAGCTGATGTTAAATTTGAGAAACCAAGACATCAGGGTAGAAGGAAACGAGGTGGAGCTACAAGTGATGGACCAAATAAGCAGGGTGATGATGCCGAAGATGATATGTTGTCACAGCTTCAATTTCAAGCAGTAGAAGCAATGCTGGCTCTTGTGAACAGAGAAAAAGTAAAAGTATTCCGAGCTTGTCTTGTGATCCTTTTCCCTGTTATTGGACTAATTGCTCTTCCATACATAAGACCATGGTCACTTCGGTTTGGAATTCCAGCAATTTGTACCTTGGTAGCAACAATGGCATTCTTGTTGGGCGCATACAATGACAACAAACCGAAAGGAAGTCCAGTAACAAATGTACTCAGAGTTCTTGTGGCCTCTACTCTGAAAATGTTTCACAAACTTCCAACTGACAGTTCCAAACTTTATGAAAAAAACGAGCATGATGATAAAAAATTGAGTCATACTGAAGGACTCAGGTTTGGCATATATCCCCTCTTAATATGATCTTCTTCATACAAACTTTTTTCTGTTTGAGAAATTTATATTTATACAACTTCAAAATTCATACTTGCGAAAAGTTTTTGACTAGAAACTCCATCTCCAGTTGTAGGAAATACTTCTACGACTTCTTTAAGTAAATTAAAACTAATCTCAAGTTCTCCAGGTAAAGAGACCATCAGAGCATAGAGATGATGAAGCACTGATTTGTAAAATTTATTGATTGTTATTCTCTTAGGTTCTTGGACAAGGCTGCCATCAAAGAAGAACCGGTGACAAACAAGTGGAGAGTCTGCACAGTTACAGAAGTAGAAGAAACAAAAATCATTGTTAACATGCTTCCAATTTGGATCACCTTCATAATTTGTGGTGTCGTAACTTCTATAGGAAGCACCTACTTCGTGGAGCAAGGAAACCACATGAATTTCAAGGTTGGAAAATTGAAGTTTCCTAATTCCATCCTTCTGGTCCTATATGAACTAACCAAGTCACGATCCAAAACAATGTACACCTTCATTGCAAGCCACTTAGGAGGAGCAGGACTAAAGAGGTATGCACCCCCAGTTGGCATTGCATTTGCTACACTATTTTCAGTACTATGCTGCATAGTTGCTGCCTTAGTTGAAACTCGAAGGTTACATGTGCTTAGAGGTCATGGATTACTTGACAAACCAGATGAGAAAATTCCCATGACTGTGTTTTGGCTGCTTCCACAATACATTCTTCTTGCTGTCCTTGACTCATTTTATGAAAACAGTGCTGCTTCTTTCTTGAGTGATCAGAGTCCTCCATCAATGAAAAGGTACCTCGTCTACTTCAACCCTGGACTATCTGGGCTGGGAATCATGGGAAGTGTTTTATCAGTATTCTTAGTTGGTAGAGTTAGTGAACGAAGAGGAAAAGAGAATTGGTTTCAATATACCTTAAACAAGAGTCGCTTGGATCGCTATTATCGGGTCCTTGCTGTCCTAAGTGCTGCAAATTTCTTCTGGTTTCTTGTGGCAGCATTAAGGTACCCTTACAGGGAACCTACTTCAAATGATGAGCAAGAGAATGGAAACGAAGAAGGTAATGCCATGGAAGCTGTAGAAGGTGTTATTCCTAATATAGAGTAAACTGAACACACTCGTGAGCAAGAAAGAGTTACATATAGAGAGGATGAAGTTTCCACCGATGCTATTTTTACCAATTTGTGTTGCGGTATTATAACAGTAATTTATAAATGGGGAACCAACTAGAATTGAGTGGCTGGTGGTTGAAATTTTATTTTATTGTTTTCATTGCATTAGTTGATTCGCCTAACTAATCAAATCAAACCGAAGGAGGAAATTACATGATGAGCAACCTCACCTCGCCAGTTCTTTTCTCATTTTTTGTCTCCATTCTTCAATTCCCTTCTCAACTTTTACAATTTCATTAATTGGCTCAATAATCTCATGATGATACGCCATAGATGCCATCCGTCACGTATTGCAACATTACAATTTTTTAAGAATAGTGAATGGTCTTCCTTCCACATAAACAATTTATTGTCTACCATCTACTGTGGTTGGAAGGAAGGATCCCTCGTAATGCTGACCAGACAAAGCACTAGTCCACAACAAAATAAAGAAATGAAAAAATAATTGCTACCCCCCCCCCCCCCCCCCCTCCCCCCCAAAAACAATGAAAAAGAGAAATGCAAAATAATAGGACGACATTAGAATTATGTGCTTGTTTCTTCTTTGTCTTGATCAAAACGTCATCAAAATCCAAGAATAAGGAAAAGAAAAGAAAAAAAAGCAGATTACTTGGCCAAAAAGATGGAAGAGTGGAAACCTGATTCCTTGCTTGAAAGACCGGGGGAGATCTCTTCACACGGGCAATATTCTAGTTGGGCCGAAGAAAGTATTGGACAATGACTAGGCTAGTCCGCTAGTGGCGCCCCGCGCGAATGGTTCAGCGATAGCGCCTCTCTCACCGGTAATTCTTAAGATCTCAAGTTCGAGTCTCCGTCCGTTCTACTGGGTTCCTCCGCGCACTTATCGCATTCGGGTCGGATTAGGACGCTGGATCTGGACCGCAAGAGATTAGTCGAACCCCGTAAGAATTGATCCGGACACCCCTGTGTCGAAAAAAAAAAAAAAAAAGACTAGGCTAGTGGCAGGAGGGGAAGTTACCAAATAAAAATGTTGACTTGTTTATAGAGAATGAAGATTAAATTGTATTTTGGGTCAATCCGATTGAATTATGAATATTAAGCTTGCATGACTATTTGAGATTGGTACATCAAGTCTTCAACAGAAATTTCGGAATAGCTAAATGGGATTCTATCTCAGAGAGCAACATCTACGGTTCTACTCTACACGGATGGTAACGCGGTTGCTGGTACGATGGCCTTCTTTATTTATTTATTTATTTTTAAAAAAGAAGGCTTCTTTATCTTTAGGAATAATTTTAGAAACCTTCCCTCATGTTTCTAACAATTTCACTAAGCTCCCTTGAAGTTCAAAAAATTACACATACCTCTCTTGTTATTTATAATGACAATTTTGCCCTTAAATATTTTCATGAAATTCCTTTATTTGATATGCTTATACTTAGAATGAATTTTGAAATTATTTTTTCATTTTTTCCTTCTTATTCTTTTTTTTTTATTTTTCTCCAATAAAACTATTAAACTATAGCTATTGCTTCTAGTTTTTATTGTAACCAAATGTCGAACTAGTAATTTTTTTGATGAGTTAATTTTATATGCAATCCAATATTTTTCCTGATCTTTATTTTCTATTTTTTGGTACTAAAATTAACTATAAACCAAAAAGAAATGACCCAAAATCATTACTAAATTATGATAATTCTACTATTCGAAAAATTCATAAATTCTATATGAATTATTTCAGCATTTTCTTTTCTATCTTATAAACCTAAATCTATAATAAAGTATTATCAAAAGTATCCTATCATAGTGATAAAATTATTATTATAATTATTTATCAAATAATAGGTATGGACATGAAAAATTTGACAATTTTTTATTATAATTATACTAGATAATCTTATAAATGTATAGGAAAATAAATTGAAACTCATTATATAAGGATATTTTTGGGTATTCATTTAAAAAATTGACCAAGTCAATATTATTTAAGATTTTGTTACTAAAACTATTAAATTAAGGGATGTAAGTGTAATTTTCCAAACCTCAAGGGAATCCAGTGAAATTGTCAGAAAATTTAGGGGAGGTTTCTGAAATTATCCCTTGTCTTTGACGTGGAGGCGAAAGAGTATCAACCGGTAAAGTACAATATGCTTCCTGTTACAAAAAAAAAAAAAAAAAAAATACATTTGCAAGCATGCAACGTTATTTATTTAGCCGTCCATATTACCCGTCCATAGTGAATACTACTATACTGAATCGTGGAGAGTAAAAAACCTGTTTTCTAAGCCATCTTCTACCCGGCTGTTAACTCTTTTATCTTCTTGCTTTATCCTGCTACATTTGCATTTGCTGTCTGCCACTTGCTTTAAGTTAATAATTTCTCCATCTGTGTCCCCAGAACAGGAAAAGCAGTGGTGGTAGTAGTAGTAGCTGTAGCATAATTTGTACCTACCATTTTCGTTGCTGCGTAGCTGAGTTAAGTCAACTCCACCTGCTATCTGCCAAGTCTCCTCTGGAATCTTGATATCAGTTCAGTTCAATTCAATCCTGATCCTCGACTCAGTTAGTCCTAGTAGCTTCCTGGGAGAGAAACAGATCTGAGTTAGAGATGTCTGTTCCAGATGCTGCAGTGACTTTTCTGCTAGACAACCTTCACCAGGTACTGAGTTACAACTATCATTTGATCGCCGATGTACGAGATAACATTCTGATTCTTTGCCAAGAACTCGAGACTCTGAAGGCTCTGATGAGAGATTACTCGAGATACAATCACGACAGCGATTTTCTCAAGGAATTGGTGAAGGAAATAAAGACCGTAGTCAACCAAGCTGAAGATGCTGTGGACACTTATATCGTTCAAGCCTCGGTTCAAAGAGCAAGATCCTGGATATCTAAAACTTTTCACATAATTGATTATCCCACCAAGCTTCGGGAAGTGGGGAAACAGATTGAAGAAGTTGGCAAGAAAGTGAGGGAGATTAATCAAGAAAAGGCCAGGAATGGCTTTGAGGCCCTGCAGTATCAAGTCATCGCCAGTCTTAACAAGATTCCAAAGCCTAAAGAGGTAAAAATAGACAAGCCAAACTCCTGCTTTCCATCTTTTGTTTAGTAAAGACTTTTCTATCTGTCTACTTATTTGTTTGTACATTTTGTGGATGGTGCTGAAACATTACTAAAGTTCAACATTTTTAATCGATTCAAGAAATCTTGTAAATTTAATCCCTAATTGTTTGTTGCATATGAACTATATCCATTTAGTCTTTAATTAATATCAACATTCGGAATGTAAGTTATGTACCAAATGGCGCTAGTAAGGAATATTGAGCTATCTCAATTAGGACATATGTACGAGTAATTAATTCCCTTGCTGTTACGAGTCAAGTATGGCTTTAGGAGTCGATTCTGTTTTCGGATCAACATATTTATGTCACTGATTTTAGTCATTTCTTTCAAACGATCTTATGCATATTCTTACCTTGTATACTGCAACCAGGCACCAAAAGTAGAGGAAGAGCATGTGGTTGGTTTTGAGGAGGCAACGGAAAAAGTAAGCAAACTTCTCACCGGTGGATCACAACATCTTGAAGTAATCTCAATTGTTGGTATGCTTGGACTGGGCAAGACAACGTTAGCTAAAAAGGTTGTTAAGGATCCAATTGTTGATTATGAATTTATGATCAAGGCATTTGTTTACGTTTCAAAAGAATACGAGAAAAGGGAAGTGTTCCTCAGTATTCTAAGATCTTTTACACAAATCAACGATGAGGTGAATAAGATGGTAGAAGATCAATTAGAAGAATATCTCCGCAAGCAGTTGGAGGGAAAGCAGTATTTAGTTGTGATGGATGATGTCTGGGAGAAAGAGGATTGGGATAGACTCAAAAAAGCTTTTCCAAGCAATAACAAGCGGTGCAGAGTTCTAATAACTACTCGAAATGAGAAAGTTGCTGAACATGCAAGTCGGGGTATCCCTTTCCATAAGTTGGACTTTTTACCTCTAGAAAAGAGTCGGGAGTTACTTCGTTGGAAGGTCTTTGATGACGACAAGTGCCCAAAGGAGCTGCAGGAGTATGAGATAGAAATAGCAAATAAATGTGACGGATTACCACTTGCAGTGGTTGTCATTGCAGGTATTCTTTGGAACAACAAAGAGAGAATTGATTGGTGGAAACATGTGGCAGATAGTGTTAAGGATTACATTGCAAGGGATCAAGAGCAAACCACTAAGGTAATAGAACTAATGTACAAGCACTTACCAAATCACTTGAAGCCATGTTTCATTTACCTTGGTGTCTTTCGGGAAGACTTTGAGATCCCTGTTTGGAAGTTGTTGCGACTTTGGATTGCTGAAGGACTCGTACTACAGGAAGGTGATATCAACTTGGAAGACATAGCAGAGCAGCACTTGGAGGAACTTGTTGCGAGAAACTTAGTGATGGTTGGACAAAGAAGGTCAAATGACCGAATTAAAACTTGTCGCATCCATGACACTTTGCGTGAGTTTTGCAAGAATGAAGCTACAGAAGAAAATTTCTTCCAAGAAATAAAAAAGGATAAACTTTCGTTCTTTTTATCTGAACACCCAGCTTTGGATCAATATCGTCGGCTTTGCATCAATCATGTCAATGTTTTGGACTACATTTCACGGCCCACACCTTCTGGTAAGTGTGTCCGGTCTTTCTTGACTTTTGCCAAAGAAGAAACTACTGTGGAACCAAAACATGTCTCTGCAATTCCCAAAACCTTTAAGTTGCTTAGAGTATTGGAGGTTCAATCTCTCACCTTCACCCGTTTTCCTCCTGATCTATGCCATTTGGTTCTTTTAAAGTATGTTGCTTTTTCTTCTAACATCTCAGTCCTCCCTCCGGCAATGTCTACCATGTGTAACATGCAAACTCTTATAGTCAATACAACATCACGCATCCTTGAAATCAAAGCAGATATATGGAAGATGCCACAGTTAAGGCATTTGCATACAAATGCGTCTACTCTTTTGCCTTGTCCAGATAACAAAAACCAAAGGAGCAAGGAAGAGGCTTTAATAGGTGAAAATCTGCTGACTTTGCATACTGTTTCACCAGAAAGTTGCAAAGAAGAGGTGTTTGAAAGGACTACCAGACTCAAG